TAACAAAAGCAGCCACATCGAGAAATATATTGTGCGATCCTTATAATAATTGGTGATGAAATTAATGGGCGCTACTCATAAATAACAGCAAAATGGCAAGTTTTTGTTCGACGCTTTTGTGTCTACATTGTTGTGGTTGTTGATAGTTTTTTTTTTCCTCTGTAAAATACAAAAAAAAAAAAGAAGAAGAACGAGGACTAGATAGATACCTATATAGTTTACTATCATTTAGCCAACATAGTTGTGCTGATGGCGAACAAACATCCATACATTAATACAGACAAAATCAAGAAGAAGAAGATCACTTATCGGCATAATGAAAACGACAAGACTGCTCCAAAGGATAGATGACCGGACAGACTGGTTAAGTGATGTATGTATGTAAATAGCGGGGTATGCATGGACGAATGGGGTACATCTTGTGCTATATGTATATGGCAAAGACAATTTATAGGATAATTTTGTGTCTGCTGCCACCAGCCATAAGCTGGAATCTTCTTTCAGCTCACCATATTATATAATATTAATGTATTTTAAATATATACTAAAAAGTTTCATTATTTTTTATTTAAACTAAAATGTTTCTTTTATGTAATGAGATTTTTTCCTTGTTATTGTTGTTGTTGGTTTGCATGATTGATTACTTCATTATTTGCCATCTTATGCATAATTTTCATACATTACATTATTAATTGAGTTTTTTATTCAGAATTCCTAGAAAATAGTTCGCTTGAGATGAAACGTTCTGAACCGCTGCAATGGTTTGAGGTATACATGGTGGCCTAGGAAGAAAATAAAATTGATTAAAAATATTATGGTATGGAATTTTTGGTATAAAAAATAAACAGTTGATGGAATGTTGGCCAGAATAAAATATTTTTCAAAAAGAATAGTTTTTATACCCTACAACACTATGTGTTGGGGGTATTATAAGATTAATTGGGCCAAAAATTATGTAACACCTCGAAATATTGGTTTCCCACATAGGAAAGTATATATGGATCTTCCTATCTCGCCGAGCTGAGTCGATCTAGCTATGTATGTCCGTCGCAATTCTGGTCCGATCCTCACGAAATGGAAAATGGAGGTGGGTTTATGGTCAGAATAGAACCCTATTGCTTTTGGAGATGATCGCATAATATTTAGGGGTTGAAATGGACCAAAAACTGAAAAATTTCCTGATTTTGCAGTTGCTCTGTAGGTCGCAATTATGGACCAATCGAAGCAGAAATTAGCATGGGGCTAGAGCTGGCTAAAAGTCTAAGAATTTTGATGTTCATTGGGTAATATTTAGTGGTTGAAATAGGCCATAACATTTGTGTTAAATAAAATCAAATTTTCCATTAAACAGCGAATATTTTTAATCCCGACGAAATCACAAATAGACGAAGAGGTCAATTCTGACCGTTACGTCGATACCGATAGTAAATATATCAGATATATATACCGAAATATATACAATGTATATATACAAAGGAAGGGGATGTTAGCTAGAATGCTTATATCTCAAGAATGGCTGGACCGATGTTGACAAAGTTTGTCAATTCAGAATGCCCTCTTCGCATAAAAGTATAAAATCTAAAAAAGTCGCATAAAAAGATGCCAATAATGATGTTGATATAAGTATGTTTTGTAGTATTTTGTGACATTTTTTTATTTTTTCATATTTTTTATCGCATGCGATTTTTGCAATTTGACTTATAATTTTGAGGTATACATTTTTTAATATTTTTTCACCTTACAACACAGGTTGGGGTTATTATATACAAATCGCAATTATCGTCCGATCCTCACGAAAATTTTCACAAGTGTAGTGTTAGGCTCAGAAGGAATAGGCCTATTGGTGTCATAGATGTCCGCAATATTTTTGGGGGTTTAAATGGACCAACAACTAAAAATTTTTCTGATTTTGCAGCCGTTATAAAGGTCACAAATAGAAACCAAAGGACACGAAATTAGAGGTTAGGACAGCGAGTAGAATGGACCACTACTTTTGTGTGAAAAAATACCAGCATTACTTACAGGCGATATCCGAAATACACAAAAGCCGAACTTCTGCCTCTTTTACGCTGATTTTGTTGACGAATTTAGCCAAATGTCGTAGACAAGCAAATCATATAGAAGAGTCTAAATTTGGAGATACAGAGGGACCTCTTGCTTTTGGAGATGATCGCAAAATATTTAGGGGTACAAATGAACCAAAAACAGAAAATAATTCCTGGTCACACAATTGAATAGAGTTAAGGACAGAAGAATTCTAGCATTTCGGATGGAAAATTCACCACAACAACTAATAGCATGACGGAGTGCTTAAATATTGGGCAAATGTCTCTGGTCAGGTCAGTGCTTCGTGACATAATTTCAAAAGAGAAATCTTCCAAAATCGATCTGAATATAAGGGGGCTTTTAACATATTGTTAGGTAAACCCGCGTCGCATACCGCAATATTCCATTCTGCGAATATTGAAAAATGAGCTCGGGGTAAAGCCGTTGAAATTCCAAAAAGTGCAAGAACTTACACCGCAACAGAGAGAAAATAGACTCAAAAGAGCTAAAGAGTTTCTTCGCTTGGCCGAAAGTGGTTAACTGCCCAATTTTGTGTTCTCCGATGAGAAAAATTCGTTGTCCAACAGTTTGTAAACAACAAAATGATCGTGTTCACTTGCAAAAGAGGTCAGCTGAAAATGTGCACCTTCGGTTGGCCACCAGAACTCAAGCGGCGGCCATGGTGATGGTGTGGGACGCCATAACAGCTGATGGTTGCTCTCCACTCGCATTAATCGACCGTGGCATAATAATAAATGCCGAATATTATCGCCAAAATATTGTGGAGGGTGTATTAAAGCCTTGGGCACGCAAACATTTTGTCCACAGACCTAGGACATTCCAACAGGACTCAGCACACGCCACCCAGGAATGGTTACAAAATTCGGTTCCTCGCTCCATTTCAAGCGCACAAAATTTTTCGGATACCAATCCGTTAGACTATTGGGTCTGGAGTGTTTTGGAAAGCAAGATTGACACTAAAAATACCATAGTGTCGATCACCTCAAGCAAGCGCTTCACCGGGAATGGGCCAAAATACCCCAGAGCAACATTCGTGCCAAATGTGACCAATTCGAACAAATCTAAACTTATTCTAAAATTTTATGGTATTTCTAACATTTGTTGCTTTTATTAATCAAAATTTAAAAAAAGAATATAAAAATTATGGCTTTTGGCTTTGTTGAAGTTTTTTTTTATCTAAACATGTATGGGAGCTATATCCAAATCTGATCCGATAATTACAAATTTCAGTAGAGATCGTCCTTGGGTCCAATTTGTAAACTATGTGCAATTTTATCAAACTCGGACTATTCGAGGAGGATTCTCAAAAGTAACTTCACCTTCGCGTTACAAGAAAATACCTATATGGTAAAAAAATCAGATGTGGACCAGAACCTGTTTTAATGTGGCTTTTGTCGTATACAACTATACCGTGCGACAATATTATTTTTTAATAATTTCAAGGAAAATCTAGAAGATTTTGAAATTAGGCGTTATGAAAGTTTACATCGCAAAGTAACCTAAGAAGAGAGAGAAAGTTCTCCTTCTTCCACATTTTTATGCCCTCCACCTTCAAAAGTTGTCATTCCTTTTGTAACATCCCTAAATATTCATCGTAGACCCCATAGAGTATATATATTCATGAACAGCATAAAATTATAAGTCGATCTAACGATGTCTGTCTGTCTGTCTGTCTGTTGAAATCACGATACCTTATTATACGTAGAACTTCAAAATTTGACAGAACAAGTTGTATTTGGCATGTTCCAGAATTGCAAGAATGTATAAGTTTTTTATGCTATCGAAAAAAATTGCAAAACTAGTAGATTCCTTCAGGTTCTGGAACAGACCAATTGTGTAGAGGATGATATGAATTGGTCGGTCCAAGTTTTGGTATAGCCGCCATATAACGATACCTCCCGACATTCGGTATTTTGATGATTTTAGCTACATTATGAACAGATTTTTTTTTTAAGTGTCGCATTTGAATATTATAATAATAAGTTGTCTATGCAGGTTCACATCGCCGTATAGACCCTAATTTACGGATACATTCGGTATTTTTAAGATTTTAACAGAATTTTTATCGGATTTTTTTTTTTTTTTTTTGAAAATATTTAAATTTGTACCAAATGGTGGAGGGTATTCAAAGTTCGGACCGGCCGAACCTGTAGCTTTTTTACTTGTTAAAATATATCAAATATAAAGCATAATAGGAGATTTTCACATAAACTCACATAAAGTAGGGCCTCAAGCCTCAAAAGGGTTTTTAATATTTACGAATTCCTGGCGTTTAGGTAAGAATTAATCTTTTAACGCCTTCTAGGTCATATACTAGAATTTTATGACAAATTTGTGGAATATTCTGACGTTCTACGATTCTCTTTGGAGGGAGATATTAACCATATTTACAAAAAAAATACCAAAATAGACTCTTGTGATGGATCGGTGAAGGATTAGAATTTTCCGTGCTTTTATCTACAATATTGCCAAAGACCATTAATTCTTTAAATCAAGGAATTCCAAGGAATCTTGATTCGAAATTTGGAAAAGAGGAATTACCCCCTCTATTTAGGTTCCTTTAAGATGTAAATTTTCGAGACACCGATACACATGTCATCTATTTTCAGCTGTCATAATCAGCTTTCAAAATCTGCAGGATTTTCCTTTTAATTATTTTTTTTTTTGCATCATGTTATGATCTATTTGCTAGTTCACCGCCACAGTATAACCTTATTTTAAAAAAAAATACTTTCTTAAAATATTTACAAATAAATATAACTAATAATAAAGTTCATTATAATTGATAAAATTCAATATAGTTATTAATGAAACACCCAACGCGATAATGAGAAGGCACAAGGACAGCGTCCAACAACGACAATTCTGGAAAATGAAAAAAGGAAGTATTAATTCTGCAATTTAAAAATCTTCGACGTAGCCATAAAAATGTGAAAATTTCAAAATAATTATATCTTTTATTGGTTCTCGTTATTATTCCAATTTCTCTAGATTTCAATTAAAATATTTCATCGTCATAAAATGAATCATCTGGCTCATCCGATTCGAGGGATACATCGTCTTCAAAGTAATAAAACATGTCTTCATCTGAATCGTCATCTTCCATGAGATTATCATCGTCAGCAGATACATATTCGATATCATTTGCTTCGCTAACTGAAATGATAATTTTTTACATTTCCTTACAATTTAGATGATATGTAACGTAAGCTCACCATCACTAGTGGCAATAGCTATAAATTGCTCCAATAAGTTATTTTCACTCATTGTATTAGCAGCAGGATCAGAAGAGGATGTAGTGTGTAATGCAGAAGATGTCCCTTTTTCCTGAATTAAAAACATATAATTCAACAACAACCGATCAAACCCATTGGGGAAATACACATTTTTATGGCTAGTTCTGCTACTCAAAAACCAAATAAAATCCGATTCTTACCCCTCGTTTCTTTTGCTTAAATTCGCTGCGACAGATTGGACATTTTTTAGCCCATGTATGTTTCCTATAGGATTTGTACTGATCCAGACATTTACGACAGAATGAATGGCCACATTCGACGGTGACTGGCGATCGTTTTTTATCTAAGCAAAGCACACAGCGTTCGATTTTCAAATCTGTCATTGGATTTATATTTCAAGATTAATAATTGCTCTCCACTTTCTTCATTCAAAATATCAAATTAGATTAGGAATTGTGATATTTATTTTTCAACAATATTCATTTTCCTTGGTTTGGGGAAAATCGAAAAAAATTGTCAATTGAAAAACTGAATGAAATTAAATGACACTAAAAACCTGTAGACATTCATGTATGAATGGGGAGTCAAAGTACTTTTATATGGATTCGGATATATTCGGCAAAAAGAGTTTTGACATCACTCCACTTTGGGAAACATTTCGAAGGTGTGCCTGTTGCGATATATCAAAAACTATGTGTGGCAAAATACAATATCAAAACTAGCAGATACATCAATGATTTTTTTCTAAAATTTATTCTACTTAGATTTCCAAATATAAAATTACACACATCATGGCAGGTTCTGTAGTATCTGTAGTAATAATAAGTAACCTCATCCTCCAATCAATTAATTCTTATTAAGAAGCGAAAGAACTAAACAAAGTGACTGTGAGTGAAATGCAATTTGAATTAAACCTAGCTTCGTAGTCACACAATCAGTATCGAATGTCATTAAAATGTTAGAAGTCCTCAATCATGCGCTACATAAAATTTTCACACAGCATAACCCAGTGAACAGTTTTATGTTGAAAATAAAAAAGTAAGTCAACTATTCTGTACTGCAAATATTTAAAAAAAACATTTGATTCTATATTGAGTAAGTTCCGAAGGAATGGGCCAATATTGCCCATTTCGCATTGGACCAAAATAAATCTATATCTATAAAAGAGGAAAATGTTTGTATGTTTGTTTGTTTGTTTGTTTATTTGTAATTTATGGACTCGAAAACCGCTGAATAGATTTTCCTGAAAATTTCCATATATACTGCAATATCGCCTGAAAGTAACATAGGCTATATACATTTTTGAATTTCCACTTGGAACTGGAGATATAGCATCAGAATCGGAGGTACCTCCCAAAAATTTAGATTTTATATGCACATATCTATTGATTGGTTGAAGATACAGTCTCCAAATTTGGAATACGTAACGGAATTTGGAACAAAAATAAGTTTGCCAAATTATATTGCAATCGGTTCAGATTTAGATATAGCTCCCATATATATTTTCGACCGATTTCGTTCATTTGATGCCTCAAACACAATATGAATGTTCGATTCCAATGAAATTTGGAATGTGTGACGGGATTTAATCCGAAAATAAATTTGTCAAATTATATTGAAATCGGTTCAGATTTGGATATAGCTCCCATATATATTTTCGGCCGATTTCAAGCATTTGATGCACCAAACACGCTATGTATCCCCAATTTCAATGAAATTTAAAATAAGTAACTGAATTGGGAACCAAAATGAATTTGTCAAATTAAATTGAAATCGGTTCAGATTTGGATATAGCTCCCATATATATTTTCGACCGATTTCATATATTTGATGCACCAAACACGCTATGTATCTCTAATTTCAATGAAATTTGGAATGTGTAGCGGAATTTGGTTATAATAATAAATGTGATAAATTAATTGGAAATTAGTGAAGATTTGGATATAGCTCCCATATATATATTCTCGGCCGATTTCACATATTTGACGCACCAATTTCAATGAAATATGAAAGGTGTGGCGGAGTTTGGTGTAAAAGTAATTTTTTTTAAATTATATTTAAATCGGATCAGATTAGGATATGATATTAATAAGAACCATTGACCCACAACGCCTTAGGCTAACACTAAAAAATAACACAACAATTTATTTGAAATACGCTTATTACGGCGAAGTATGTTGCTATCTCGAATTCACTAATTGCAATAGAAATGCCACTCTACTTAAAAAAATTGCAGTTTCCTGCACGCTTGGTATTTGCTATGAAATAAATAAATCCAAAGGACAAATCCTTCGTGTATGCATGTCATGTTACTGCTTTTGTAATGATTTTGTTTATTAACGCATTAAATTAGTGCAATATTTATTTTTTTTAAATTTGTTTTTCTTTATCCAACATATGTTCGTAAATAAAATTTTGAATGCATATAAAATCAAAAGGGGTAGCGAAGCGCACCGGGTTCATCTAGTATGATATAAAGTTGGAGCAAAATCGGATTATACTTTCTCTTTCTGTGCAGTTTTTTTATTTCCAATCTTTTGTCGAAATTGCCCATCTCCGTACTCGATCTAAGTTTGATAATAATATTACGATGCACGATGTTATCGTGCGCACCAGCCAGCCAGAAAGGCAGACGGACACCCTTAGATTGACACCAACTGTCCTGAAACGTATTTTGTACTAAAAACCTAGGTTCTAAAATACTTATTTCCATGAAGCGCCCGGATCCCTGATCTACTAACTTGAGTACGTCCCTATATTAAAATATATTACAATTTCCACATGAGATAAATTGCAGCTCAATTAGTTCGAAATTGCATCTGAAAAGTTTAAAGTAAAATAAGTACAGGAGCATTTACTTCGGCATTGACGAACTTTTAATACCCTCCACCTTCGGGTAAAGAAAACTTTTTTATACAAAAGTATCTGAATTCAAATGTGCTCCACTTTAAACTACAAATATCAGAAAGACCGTTTGGATAATAGCGAATATTGGTGGGTATCGTTATATGTGCGCTATAGGAAAACGTGGACCTAAATATTCAATGTTCTACCACCGGAGCTAGAACCCATTATGAACTACAAATACCAATTTTTAGATAAATCCGTGGAAATATGTGGCGAAAATCATGAAAACACCGAATATCGGGAGGTACCATTATATGGGGGCTATACAAAAACGTGGACCTTAATATTCAAAGTTTTACCACCGGAGTTAGAACCCATGATGACCTGCAAATACCAATTTTAAAACAAATCCGTAGAAAAATGTGACAAAAATCACCGAAATGCCGAATATCGGGAGGTACGGTTATATGGGGGCTATACAAAAACGTGTACCTATACATACAATGGATTCGGAGCTAGAATCCATTGCGGACTACAAATACCAAGTTTTAGAAAAATCCATGGAAAATTGTGGCAATAATCATCAAAATACCGAATATCGGGAGGTACCGTTACAAGGCGACTATACCAAAACAGAGATCGATATAGCTCATTTTAAGTTCAACCATTTTTAAGCTCTACAGACAGACGGACATCGCTAAATCGACTTAGAATTGTTTGCTAATTATGAATATATATGCGTTACAAATGGAATGATAAATTTAATATACCCTCCTTTTCAAGTTGGAGGTTATAAAAATGGGGTGGTATGGGGTCCAATCGTGGACTCATTTAATTTTCAATACAAATTATTCTAGTAAGATTATTAACTATCGGCGTAGCTAGAAAAGACTAAAACAACCAAAAGTCCTTAAATCTACCGGTGCAGTTATTTGGGCGATTTACCAAAACATAGGCTTATCTAGCCCATTCTCAAAAATTTCTGGATGGACTGACATAGATCTTTATGCTGATCAATAATATATATACTTTGTGGGTCTAAAATGTATATTTTGAGGTGTTCCAAACGGAATGACGAACTAAATGAGTTTTTGAGTTTTGCCTTGTTAAGGCGAAGATCATTTGTTTTATGATTTATGTGTTTGTTTTCTCTTTCGTTTGGAGAAAATATTGCCGAAAATTCGGAATCTCTAAAAGGTTCTAATATTCTGAAGAAACGCTCTCGTAAGATTTGGCTATTAGGTTGTAAACATCCTTTTCCAAAAACCTATTTATTTTCTAGCATTTCTTTCTTATTCGAAACCAAAATGTTCACTGGTCCATAATAAAGTAATTTCTAGCATGAAAACATCGAATTTATGTTACTTGCCATTCACGAGGTGTATTAATAACAGTTTGCCAATCTATAATTCTCCTTTATTATAAGTATAAGTTTGATTTGAAAAGAATGTTCTCACAATATTTTCTACTATTTATGTAATTAAATATGATTTTGATTAATACATTCTCTGGCATTCTACTGGCCAAGAAATTTTGCGGCATTTGAAAATGCAATCGATTTTCCACAAGTCAGTGACGTCGACGACGACGACCAATCAAATGTCTAAACATGCCATGGAATCAATCAATAATTAATAATTACCAGAAAAAAGAGAATAATGATGATGACGACGATGATGGTGATGTACTTGATCAAATCAAAACGCTCATATTCTGCAGTAGGAAAAATGTGTACTTCCACAAAATATTGTTGCATAAAATGACCGAAGATGGTATTTGCCGTTTGATGATATGGGCCGTTGTGAAGGCAAAACAAAAAAAAATATTACATTACATTGTGTTTAAACAAATTTTCTTTTTATAGAGCAGCCAACGACACAACATGCATGATGCGGGACTGAATAACAACAACACACTGATGCTGGACATTAACGGCCACATTTCAGACAACAAGGAATCTAAAAGAAGTCCGAAGAAAAAAAACCAACGGCTATCGTTGATATGAAAATGAAAACTGGATTTCACTCCCAGTGGTCGCGTGGTTTGCATGATGTTTGCATGCCAACACACGCACATACTTCATCAAGTGGCAGTGAACGACGACAATATGGCCAAACACTTTGCTCACTTGTGGCTGGACTTGGTCAGTGATTTTGCGACGGGGACAGACATATTTGCATTCATTCATTTATTTATTCGATCCAAAAGTTGGAAGCCCATAAATGCCGAAAAAAA